TGCATATTGAAACTGATGTGTACTGTAAAAATGGTTAATAACAAAGTTGTAGAGAATTGGATAAGCTTTCCAGAAAGTCCTAGATCACTAGATTTGGATTTGTAGAACTCCAGTTATGAGCGAAACAAGTAGCTATTGTTTGTGGCATAGTCGATGCTTTGTAGAAGTAGTTAAGTAGTAAACGAGAAGAGATATGCACCTACTCAAACAACGTGATGCACTTGTTAACATATATGCATTCATAATACTTATACCATACTCATGCATCTAGGATCGGAGGAAGAGATCACGTTGCTGGAATTCGAAGAAGCTGAGGAAGGAACCCGCAGGAGGATCCGCAAAGTCGTAGCTCCCGAAGGCGTGGGCGAGAACCCTCAAGAGCTTCGAGTGCCCCACCACCGTCCTACTTCCTTTCTGCGAGGCAAGCCCGGAGCATTATAAGTCTCCCAAGAATTTACAAATGTTTACTTACGTATTTATGATTGATGCATTAGGTTATAAGAGTTGAATGAAACCACTTGATGCATGTACATTCCTTGTCCAGATATTACACCTTTAACCGGTATAGGTCCGTGATCGAATATATATATGCTTAGCCATGCTTAGACCGGTAGAAGTCGGGTGATGTCCTGTCACCGCGAGATATAGGTGGATACCGAGCACGGTTGGCTATATCTCGCTATCGTGGAACAGTAACCATGAGGTAAAAGTAAATTGAGACCGGACGGGAGATCGATAGGGAAGCAACAAGGCATGGAGGTCTTGGGTGTGGACTTATCCCCGTCTCAGTGTCGATTAAGGACCGCATCTGCGTTGTTGGCGCTTCGACAAGATTGAACGCATGCCTCTCACTTAGCTGGCCGGATAATTCGTTCCGACCGCTGAAGCCGAGTAATTCAACTCGGCCGGAATCGTTACATTGCGCCCTTCCGGGAACGATCGAGGCCGAGCCCAAGGGCAGGTTTGGCTCGAGCATCCCGGCATCTGGTGTTCCAGATTAGCGGCGCGATCTGAACCCGCGAAAGTGTACCGAGTTGTACCAAAGGTGACCTAAGGCTATCGTGGGCTGGTAGATCCAGGTTTGTGTTAGGAATAAATTCCCACCGGTTGAAATCGATTCAATCGCCGTCTCTCCCGGATAGTGAGAAACTTGGCTAGTCCCAACATCGTAGCAGACTATATTATGAAACATGGTGGTTCGGATGAATATGGAATTACAATACACGCTATGGTTACTATTGTATGCTTCTAAATGATATCCCACATGTTTGGCACGGATAGTTGCTACTCTAGAAATGGATAGTTATAATTAACTTGATAAAGGAATCATAATTGTACAACGGATCAATTGCCTTTTTTCGCAAAATGTTGTCAAGTTACGTCCCACTTATACAGCCTTTGCATACTCCTTGGAGTCATTTTATTTCGGTTCATGACGGGTAAGTCTAGTGAGTACCTTCTCGTACTCGTGGTTTATTTTTCCCAATGTTGCGAGATGGCACTTTGTGTATCATGGTTATTGCAAGAGTTGCTTCTATCCCATTGTGGATGAGGAGTAAGCCTTGGGCGAGCTTCCTTAGTAATTCCTATCTTTGCTTTTGTGGATCGTGATCCGCATGGCACCGTATCAAACTATGTTGGAAACTTATCTTGAACTTATTTGCTTCCGCTTTAATTATCAAACTCGGTTTGTAATAACTTTTTATTCGTACTCTGATGATGAAAAGTATCTGTGAACTTTATGTAATATGTGGCATGTATGTTGAATCCTGTACGATCTTGGTTGTTGTAAATCGTTTATCGAGACCCGTCGTGGTACTCGACGGACTACCGGGTTTATATGGGTTCAAGTATGACAGTGCGACCGCTTGCGGATTGCCATTGTACTTGTATTCTTATAAATTGGTCGGTTCTGCGACAAGACACACCAAGAAACAAAAGGCTAAACAAACAATCAAGAGTATATGAAACAATTGCTTGGCACTTACCCCATGTGCATAAATCTTTCCAGCTGTGACATATCTAAATCATAGGCTTTCACTCAAGGACCTCTGGCATGGTCGGAAAGTGCATGAACCTAGAGGCATAGGCCAACCAAACGACTCAGTGGCGGATCTAGGTTTTTACCTCTGGGTATGCGCAGCAAAAAAAAATTCTTATACAATTCGGTAAACCAAAAAAAATTCTTATGCAATTTTTTTTTACATTGAAAATTTCTACCTATCTCTATGACTGGCGGACCCCAGGGTATGCGGTGGCCCACCCTGCATACCCTGTAGGTCCGTCCCTGCCAAACGTCCATCAAAACACAATATTTTTAGCACTGCCAACGAAAGGACCATTAGATGAGGCACAATCAGCGGAGACCTTTGAGGGTGCCCTTGCTGCTCCAGCTGCAGCTAGATGCCCAGAGCCAACAGTTGTGCCAACGCCTACTCCTCCACAGTCCGCAGGCATGCCAAGAGCAGCTACATCCACCCTAGCACGATCTTCTCCACCATCGGGCGTGCGGATCTCCGACATCTCGCGGGCGAGTGGATCTGGGCCGCCCTAGCTTGCCGCAGGTGCTACCGCCACCGCCGCCCACGGGAGCACGGGTCCTGACCATTGCAGCTGCTGCCACGGGCACGGCCGCGGCGGCCTTGCCCAGCCCCCGCCCAACGCTACTGCCGCTCCGCCTAGGGGCGAGCGCACGCAGGGGCTGCCGCCGGCGTAGGAAGCACGTGCAAGCCACTGCTGCCACGCTGTGAGCACGCCCGACCTCTCGATTTTTTTTTCGGAAACAAAAGAAGTGCTGAGCATGTGGGACGGTGGGATTCGATCCCTGGCCGCCGAGGGCGCACGGGGTGGGAGGGTGCGGGGTGGTGTAGTGTGCGACTGTGCGTTGAAGCAAGCCCGGATGATCCAAATAATGTTGGCCATCGGATCGAGTTGAAGCTTTGAGGGAGCTTTAGCAATTTTAATGATGTTAAAATACTGGGTACAAAATCTTTAGTGTACAATGATTAGACTATCTTAGCGGGGGACGCAATCTTGGGTGTACCGAGCCTTATTTTGAGTGTTCCCTTGTAGTAGAGATGATGAAGCGATCGATGCGATGGCGCGACGCGCAAGTTGGGCCTGGCTGATTAGTTTGGGCTGCGTTGCCGTTCAGGCTGGCTTAATCCTGCGGGCCGAGCTTCTAATGGATTCAAGTTGCCACATCTCTGAGCAAGAAGAAGCCGAACGATGCCATTTACAAGGTACTTGTTTTATTGTGCATATTTTTCTTTACATTTCCGCATCACGGATGACCTTGTATGTCTTGGTACGTAATTAATACTGTGGAGACATGACTATATGAGTTCATGCATCGATCTTGATGGTAGGTCCAAGGAAATGGTGAGAAGAATCATGAAGAAATTACATTGTTACATACACATCAACCCATCAAATCCTTGTAAATCCAAGTAAATAATTTTGTTAAATGGTTGTTTCTCTTTTTACTGCTGATTTTCTTTCTTCACTCTAATTGTGCATATTTTTCTTTACATTTCCGCACGGATGACCTTGTATGTCTTGGTACGTAATTAAGGACCTGTTTGGCATTGCGTCGGCCAGCTCCGGCTCCGCGCTGACACTGTGCAGATCACTGTAGAATACTGTAGTTCAGAGCCGGATTTCTCTCTCCGTCTTTTCCTCACTGTAGCTCGGGGTACTGTTTGCGGGCCGGAGGAGCCAAAATTTCGGGCTTCACTAGTGAAGCCGCTGGCTGTGAGAGGGAGAGGGAAGGTGAGAGAAAACTGGCTCCGCTACAGTGAATGAAACAGTGAAATTGCAGGCCGGAGCCGTGCCAAACAGGTCCTGATACTGTGGAGACATGACTGTATGAGTTCATGCATCGATCTTGATGGTAGGTCCAAGGAAATGGTGAGAAGAATCATGAAGAAATTACATTGTTACATACACATCAACCCATCAAATCCTTGTAAATCCAAGTAAATAATTTTGTTAAATGGTTGTTTCTCTTTTTACTGCTGATTTTCTTTCTTCACTCTATAGTTAATCATATATATAGAGACTAAGGAATACACATTATACAACTCGTGTTTGACAATATCTCCTGCTAATCTCATCAAAACAATTCAATTCCAGCATCGATGCTCGATTAAACTGCAAGCACGTGCTGCACTTGATTGCTTTTGGGTTCTGACTATGCTTTTGCTACATGTCCGTTAGTCCGCAGACCGTATTACTGCAACAAAAATCTCACCGACCGTCTTACTGCAAGTTGTAACTGTTATATGTCCTTTCACTTGCACTGATTGTCAGTGTAATCCTTGTAGTTGCATTATATCCTTGATTATCTCTGAAACAATCACAAGCAGTGCACCTCCCGTAACAAGCGAGAGAGTAAATTTCCCTCCTGGGACTATAGGGGGTACTGGAGCTTCCAACTCACCCGAATATCTCTCTGACCAAGACATAGCCGCAGGAAAAACTCCAAAGAGTACTAGAACTGAAAACAGTACATGCAAGGTATCAGTTCATTTTAAGAAATGTAGTATATATGCAGTCATTAGTCAGATGAATGTCCTATACTTCTTTCTATTTATAACATCTTACTGGAATAGATTATAGATGATCACAAAAAAGAGATATAATCATATGGATATATGACACTTCTATTCATGTGCTATCGCTTTAAGATTTCGTAGCCACAAGGAGTACTTTTCATGGGGGTCAACATAATAGTTTGATTTTAAAATTTTGTCTTATCTTTTTTCTTAACCCTGATTGACCTTGTGTTTTGAACCTAAGCCAAGCGCTTTGAACTCCCAGTTACCTATCATGATAAAACCTTGATCTGCTTCAGGTAATCAGGTGAAATTCATATCATGTGCTGTTTATTTGAAGATATCAAATAGGAAGGGAAAAAAATGAGTGATGTACTTGTACTGTCGCTATTGTCCCATTCTGCCATATGTTTGTAAGGATAACATACTGTGAGATAACAAAGTTTAAGATACAGTAAAAGGATCCTTGCCTCCATAAGTTCCTGCAAAGTCCAATGCCTTGAAAAATATCTCCGGATCAAGCAGTGACAGAACAAGGGGAGGAAGAAGAGTTAATATGTATGGCAGTGGTTTATTCTGGCCACTTGGTAGTTTAAGCACTGCAAAGTTTACAGAACAGATGAGAACGAAGAGTGTAAGCACTAGTCCAGAATCATGATAACAAATTATTGCTGGCTTGGTATCTCTCCCACAAAAAATTGGAGTGGTTCCTCCTGAGGCTTAGCTGAGAAATATGATTGCTATGGAGTAAAGACACTTACAGTCTGCTAGGAAGTCTGAGAGTCCTAGAATAAATCCAATGTATGATGTGCCTATAGCGAGAAATGAGAATGCCTCAACAATAGGCTGCAAACCAGAAGGCATGTTGAAATTAGTTTTTGTTTTCCAAAGAACTGTATCTGTAATCTGTATGAACAACTTGAAAAATACTTACCCCCACTATCCCATTACTTGATCTAAGTAGTTCTAAGGGATCAGAAACAGTGCTGCTCCCTGCAAGGTCTGGAAGTGTCCCCAGGATTACTCCATCCCATACTAGGAACAGAGCCAGGGGTATGGCAGTACCCGCCACGATAGCTGTTCTGCAAAACCCATAAATGATATGCGTAGTCAATTTAGCAGAGATTCAGAATGTTTATTTAGTTTGAAAAACTGTTGCAGTGTTGTATAAATAGCTCTGTTATTGCATGGCCAACAATATTGGTAACACCTTTAACTGGCACAAATCACAACTTCTGTACTTAATTAGGTGTTATCCTTTTTTTTGAAGAACCAGTGGCAAGAGCATGCCGGGTATGTATTAATAGAGAAGAATTAATTAGGTGTTATCATTTATGAACAAAGTTATCCTCAGATTCTCAGAAATCTTACCGTACTTTTGACAGGTCTCCCTCCAAATTTGTACAGAGAACAGGAACCACATTCTGTTAGGGCAAATACTCAGTCTAGTGTCAAGAAGATAATTTTATTCAAATAAATATGGATGGTAATAAGGATTACCTGGTATACAAATGAAAGAGCAATTATTGGTATACTTTGTGGAGCGGCAGCAAAATTCGCTTCAAGAAGAGAACTCCACTGTAGGTTTCCACTTGCCACAACCTGTGTAAACCACATATGGTAAGTTGCTATCTACGCCAAAGGAGTTTCCAAGTTGTCTGATGATCTAAATTTGTGACAAGGACATCCTTTATGTCCAAATAGAAGCATATAAAAAGGACAACCACACCACATTATAAAAAAAATGATCATGTTTCGTGTCAAAAGAACCTATCTGCATATAAGTATTGAGCTTATGAATGTTTTACTCATGCCATTTGTTGTACCTGTGTGTACTTGAACTACAATTATTCTCTCTCTCTCTCTCTCTCTCTCTGACACACACACACACACACACACACTCTCTCTCTCTCCATGACATAATAATATATTTTGGGAAATGCCTTCTGTTGTTTTATCACTTTGCCATTTAACCACCAGACATGTTCTTCTAATGAGATATTTTTGAAATAATTATAACAAGTTTCTTGAATGTAAAATCCATCAGGCAACTTTGGTGCATATCTGATAGCATTAGCACTTACAACAAGAGAAGTGAAGGATGCTAGGATGCCGGCTACCAGAAATCCATTTACAGCACCAATCAGTCGCTGGCTGCGGTTGTCAATAGAGCTTGTTTTAGTTCTTATATAATATAATCTCTTGGGGAAGTAGTAATTAATAAACAGTTATAACATAATCAAGTAAGAATTTAACTAACCCATCCCTAAGATCAGAATTACTTGTACAGTCACTTTTTAATGCTAGGAAGACACTCAACATCCATAAAATAAGGATTCCTAGCAGCACTGCATGTAATCAGTAGGTGGCACAGCTTATATCTTGGATATACCTTGTGATGAACCTTCAAGTCTAATCAAAAGGCTATAAATCTAAAAAAAAAAAGAGCCATTTGCTCATATGTTTACAATTCTTGATGTTAAGGATGTCTGATATATTAGTAATTGACAATTACCTTCCAAAGTAACAAATCCCTCCGAAAGCCAGAGAAAACAGGGTAGCACTCTCCCATCTGTAACCATAGCAGACCGTCATTGGCTTAAGAGAATGCATGACTGAATCATTGAATGCTAACTCAAGTGCACTTTGATGACTAGTGACACTTTGGGGCTTCTTAGGATTCTACAACCCATAGGTAAAGTTAAAGTTATTCTGTCTTCTGTAGTTGTTTTGTGGATGTAACAAACTTCATTTATCCTTAATGCAATGACACACATTTCTCTAAAGTAAAAGAAAATAAAAGATAAGTCTTACAATGGAATACCCAATGAGTTTGTTATGATATCTGAAGAGCGTGCCACGTATGCGACAAGAAGTGCATAATGTATAAATAAATAGGATAAGCTGTAGCACAAGGAAAGCAAAGTCAGAAATTCTTCATATGAGATATGAATGTTAATTGAGTAGAAAATAGGAATTCTGACTCTGAGTGGTCAGCTCATTTTGTGTCATGATCTCAAAGTTCCTTCTTTTACAATTGTAATTTTGTCAGCTTTTTTGGTATTCTATGCACAAATAAACTTCTACCATATATAATTTCATCATACCAAGCTGCCCGTACTCCAAATGTCCCTAGAGTGCGCATAGCCATTGAGACCTGAAAGATATGTTTCTTCAGATCACTACATTGAGATCATGCAAGATAAAAGATGTATAGGGAAATTTTAACTGAATCTTACTACTGCATATTCATTTTAACTGCCCCTAAACAGTAATTTTTCTTAAGGAAATCATCACAGGAGGATATGTTATCTACCAGGGAGACGCCTCCAGATCCTAGTTCGCACATCGTATTGACGTTTACTTCAGCAACTAACAGCCCTGTCACAACCTGGAAATGTGATGCCAATCATAACCTGTCTTACTGTAAACGATTCAACGAAACAGGCACTGGGGTCAATTATCAAACCGTCCTGTATCAAGGTGACACAAGAAACAAACATTCAAAATAGTTCCAACTATAACGACGGTGATTTTTCCACTGATGCAGATATTTTTTAGAGTTCTACTACCACTGATGCCGAAGCAGAATGCAAAAGGATTTACCTTCCATAGGCTTCTCTGACTGCGTGTCACCTTTAACAAGCCGGTTGATAATTTACCCAGTCAATGACATTCTATTACCATGTATGACCAGCAGAGAATGCATATAACTGCCGAGGCCAAGAACCCAGCTTCTTGTGTGACTGCAGGGATTGCAAGGATACCTGCCCCAACCTATTTGCAGAGGAACAAAAATAAGAGTACGTGAAGTGCCATGAGAGATGTTATAGTCAGAGGGTGAATGTGTCTAAAAAGTTATTTAAGCTCAAATGTGTTCTCCATTTCACATGAAATTTGGTTCGCAAGTGTTAGTCTGTGAGGCAATATGGTATGTCAGCAGTTTCGCCGATCGGGTATCCTGTGATTTCTCAATATAGTTCTTTTTCATTCAGGTTACAGTTCACCTGCAATTCCTAACTCAGGATTTGAGCTCTTATTACAGTTACAGCAGGAGGAAGAATAATAAAGGGAGAAACTGTACTGTACAGTACCGTTGTGCCGGCCACGAGGAAGATGGCACTGGTGACGCTCCCTGAAACCAAAAGGGACACAAAAATCATCCTACAATGCACGGTACGTACAAATCAAAGGCAAATATTTGAGAAAAAGAAGTGCCCGTGCATTACCAGGGTCATGCTTCATGGTGGCCTGGTTGAGGTTTGAGAAGAGGCGCTCCAGCTGCTGCGGCGAGTCCGGCTCCGGCGGCGGCGGCGGCTGCCGTTCGCCGGCGTACTGGGAACAGAGGCATCGCTGCAGCTGCCTCCTCGTCCTCGTCCTCATCCGCCTGAGCACCAGCGGTGTTGTTGCGGAGACCGGAGAAGGCGTGATGCGTCGTACCGACGGTCTCAGTAGAGGGTAGCTGCAGTGAAGAGAGGTCAACAACGATGCCATTGGTATTGCCGTTGTCGAGGTTGTTCCTCTCTCTCTGCGCTGCGGTGCGTTATCTTCAGGCTCGCTGGGCGCTTGTGTGGCTCAGGTACACCGCAGACCGAGGAAAGTGCTGCTGGCGCTTTCTCCGCTTCACTTCAGCGGCCCTGCCGTGTGCACGGAAGCAGAACTGTCCACACTTTTCGGGGCATTTTATCCGGGTATGAACCATTTTGCTGCTTTGTAACGGTCTTGAAATCGAAACATGTATGGAACCGGTCGCCTACAATTCTTGATGGGAATGGGCCGGCCCTGATCTGGCCTATGGCCTCAAGGCCAATTTGTGAGACAACGGGTCGGTCCAATTCTACAAAAAAAGGTGTGGCCTCACTGGCTGATTAGGTATGACGGGTCGACCAAAAATTATTATATGGCAACACTATTATGTTAGTTCAAATATAAAGCTGAATGCCGGTGTACTAACGATAAACATCAGTTAATCATCAGAAAATAATTGATTGCAGTTAAAAAATATTATAATAATATTTTCTAGGAATGGATGGGGGAGAGAAGTTAGAAGTGACCATTATGTCTGGCTATTATAACACGGCCCTTGATAGTTATTAAAAATTTCGGTGCCGCTAGCACCCGGATGTGCATGTCTGGATGCCCGCGCCTACACTTTGCCCCCGCGCTAGCCCGACGAGGCGTCTGCGCCCAACCCGACCCCACGCAGCGTCTACGTCCCCGCCCGACCCCACGTGACGTCTGCGCCCCGCCCGATCCCTCACACCCCCTCTAGCAGCTGCAACAGGCGGATGACATTGCAACATATGCAAACACCCGATCTACTTTTGAAACATCCAAATGCAACAGTTGCAACATACGTCTAAAGATAGACGAAACACTTGAAACATGCTTCTAAAACACTTGCAAAAAAACACCTGAAAAACGATTGAAAACCATTGCAAACATACGCAATATCCAAATAAAACACTTACAACATATGTGTGAAACATATGCAACATCTAGATAAACACACTTGCAACATATGTCTGAAAACACAGATAAAACATTGGGAACAGACACTTGTCACATACATGTACAACCATTGCAACATATGCAACATTCCCAATCTACTTCAACATTCGTATAAAACACTTGCAACATACCTCTAAACATCTAAAACACTTGAAACATACACTTACAAGATGTGCTTTCAGCGCAACATCTCCTTGCTGCTTGGGAGAATGGAGGCTCGTCGGCGTGCCGGAGGCAGCGGGCCGACAGTGCTTGTAGGCAGCAGGGCCAGCGGTGGTGGCTCCACAACATGGCGGAGAGGCAGCAGCTGCATGACTGGGAGAGGGCAGCCACGCGCCACGCCGTCCTGCAGCAGCGTCTCGGTGGCGCGGAGCTCGTCGCTCCAGTGGAGAAGACCACGGTAGGTCCGGTGGAGAAGGCCGTAGCAGGTCGCTCTGGTGGAGAAGGCTGACGGGAGGCACGATGGAGAGGAAGGCAAGCGGGAGCGCACAGTTGAAAGCTCTAGTTTGGTTTTGGTAAATTGATGAAACCCTAAGTGCTAACCTAGTTCATCAAGTGATCATGAGATAGGTAGCACACTTCAAGTAGAGAAGCAAATGAAGATCATAACATGACAATGGTGATAGCATGGAAATGATCAAGGGCTTAAACTTGAAGAGAAGAAAGAGAAAAACAAAAAGCTCAAGGCAAAGGTATAACTTGTAGGAGCTATTTTATTTTGGTGATCAAGACACTTAGAGAGTGTGATCACATTTAGGTTTGATAGCCGTACTATTAAGAGGGGTGAAACTCGTATCGGAATGCGGTTATCAAAGTGCCACTAGATGCTCTAACTCATTGCATATGCATTTAGGATCTAGTGGAGTGCTAACACCCTTGATAATATTTGTGTAGATATGCTAACACATGTGCACAAGGTGTTTGTAGGGTTGAGATGGGTTTGTAGGATTCGGCGCTTTTGGGAAAATGAAATGTCTATTTTCTATTACGCCGGATGCAAAATTCTTGGTGGTTGGCACACTTGAGCAAGGGTGAAGAAGTAAGAGTTGAAATGGAGTTGATCGAAATGATGCTGGCGTCGGTCTACTGACCGGACGCTGGGTCACTCAGCGACCGGACGCTGAAAGGCTGCGCCCGGTCGAGCTGTCAGACGACACAGTAGCTAAGGTTGAGCACTGGACGCTGGTCTGTGTTCGGTCAAGGTGGACTGGACACGTCCGATCGAAAAAACATGCCTCGGGGAGCTTACTGGAAACGACTGGACGCTGGGGCTTCAGCGTCCGGTCAGTTTTACCGGAGCGTCCGGTCAGCTTCGCAGCCGTTGAAATCTGACGAACAGCGTTTGAAGCTGGTGACGCGTGGCGTCCATCGGGCGACCGGACGCTGAGGGCCAGCGTCCGATCAGAGCGCGTTTTGCCCAGTGAAGGGGTATAACGGCTCTATTTCGTCGGGGCTTCTATTTAAGCCCCATGGCCGGCTGTGGCTCATATCTCTTGCACATTTTCATTGACATAGCAACCTTGTGAGCCTAGCCAAAGCCCTCCCACTCATCTACATCATTGATTCATCATCATAGTGAGATTGGGAGTGAATCCAAGTGCATTGCTTGAGTGATTGCATCTAGAGGCACTTGGTGATTGTGTTTCGCTGCGGATTTCGCTTGTTACTCTTGGTGGTTGCCGCCACCTAGACGGCTTGAAGCAGCAAGGATCGTTGAGTGGAGGAGGTGATTGTCTCCGACTCCGATCGTGGTGATTGTGAGGGGTTCTTGACCTTTCCCCGGCGGAGCGCCAAAAGGTACTTTAGTAAATTGCTTGTGGCTTGTGTGATCCTCATCTTGTGTTGGTTGTGCGGCACCCTATTGAGGGTTTGGCGAGTGATGCCAATCAGCGCGTGAACCTCCAAGTGAGTGAATCGCCACAACGAGGACTAGCTTGTCGGTAAGCGAGTGAACCTCGGTAAAAATCATTGTGTTCATCATTTGATTCCGAGGTGATTGGTATACATTGGTATTCATTATTGTGATTGATTGGTTCCTACCACTACACGGCGGTATAACTCTCTTGCTCACTCTTACATTACCGCAAACTAGTTATCAAGCTCTTTAGTGTAGCCAGTTGTGAGAGCTTGTTTGTTTGATTAGTGTTGCTCTTTAGTTAGTCTTTGAGAGCACACTAATTTAGCTAAGTGTCATAGCTATTGTGTGGATATACACTATTCGAAATAGAATTGTGGTATGTGGCTTGCATTTTTGAGTAGGCTAGCGCAACACTCGCTTCGCCGCAAAATTGTCTAACCCATTTTGTTAAGTGTTGTTGTAGATTTTTATTAGGCTATTCACCCCCCTCTAGCCATTAGGACCTTTCAACAGTGGAGATGGTGGGCGGGATGCGCGGCGCAGCGTAGTCGCAGGCTCGCGGCGCTACAGTGAGTTTTTCCTTTTTTTTAGAAAACTACGGTGGCTGGAGGTGAGTGGATATGTACACATAGGATATCCTTCTGGGACTCCCGGCTTGCCAGCGGCATTTCCGTAAAAAATATAACTTTTGCGTATAAAGTCGAATGAAAATGAAGTTTATGTCAAAATTTTAGAACTTAATAAGATCTACAACTTATAGTTGACTGGTTTTGATTTCAAATTATATAGAGTTCCATTTAAATTCTTAGATTTTAAAAATTTTAAACTAAAATTTTCGAACTACATATGTTGACATGGTAGTCGAATCCATCGTCCATGGTGATTTCGGTCCCCAGGAATACGATTAGGCTGGCCTCAAGGTAACCGCGGCCCAAATTAAACAAACTAATCAGCTAGGACCGGGCAGGCCCAACTTGCGCGTCGCGTCATCGCTTTGTTATTACGGAGTACTCCTGTATATTTGCGCGCAAAACCAGGATCGTAGTGGCACGCAGGCAAAACCCATCCACTCGAACCCATGGCGGGCGGCAGCGCCGGCGACGACGACGTCGTCGTCCCCGTGTCGCCGCGTGCACAGCAGCCAAGCGGAGGAGGGCGGCGGGGACACCGCCAGAAAGCGGCGTGGCTCTCGCTCGACATCATCATCGCGGAGATCGCGTCGCGCTCCGACCCGGCCACCCTGGTGCGGTGCGCGGCCACGTGCAGGGACGCGCGCCGCCGCATCGCCGAGGACCCAGACCTCCGCGGCCGCCTCCGCCTCCGCGACACGGAGCGGTTCGTCCTCCCCCTCCTGCGCGGCCACCTGACGCGGATCACGACCTACACCAGAGGCGCCTTCATGTCGAAGTCGAAGACCGACGTGTACCTGGTGGACGCCGCCGCCACCACCGCGGCGGACTCCACCCGTCTCGTCAAGGCCACCTTCGCCTCCGGCGCTGAGGCCGAGACGTTGAGCAACGTCGTGCCCATGGACTCGCGCCGCGGCCTCTTCCTCGTTCACGCCACAACGACGACTCAGACTAACCCGTATCAGTATCAGTTGCAGCTGTTCGTGTGGAACCCGGCCACCCGTCGCCGCCTGGTCCTCCCGCCGGAACTGGCGTTCCCAGAGGACGACCCGGACGCTGGCCGGAGTACGGACGTGGAGTACGTGCTCCTCGTCGACGACAGCGACGGCGAGGGTGCCGGTGCCGGTGCTGACGCCGCCGACGGCCGGCCTTTCCAAGTGCTCAAGGCGAAGTTAGTGCTGTCAGAGAAGTACCGTTCTCACCGTCGCCTGCTGGTTCAGACCTTCTCGTCGGATCACGGCGCATGGTCCCCGTGCACGGAGATCCCGACTCCAAACTTGCACGGAAGCGACAGCTCGCCGTCGCCGCTACAACGCAGGCCCCTGGTCGTCGGCGACGTCGTGCACTGGCTGTGCCTGACCGACAGCGGGAGCTACATGCTCATGCTCCACGTGAGAGCGGCGCGGGTGAACGTGACGGCTCTCCCGGTGAGCTTCCCCCGCGACGGCAAGAACATCCAGTACGACCGGAGACATCAGTACCTGTTGGCGATGGCTACGGCGGGCGGGAACCCCGTCGTGCTCGTCGCCGACGCCGACAGGATCTCCGCCTGGGAGCAGTCGAAGCACACCAAGATGTGGAAGCCGCGGCCGCAGGTGGTGATAGAGAACGAGACGATGCTGCGGTTCATGAGGGACAAGTGTGTTCCTCGGCTAGAGTTGTTTGGAGAGAAGAGCGGCGCCCTGCTCCTTCGTATTGATGGCTGCTGTTTGCTGTGGCTGGATCTCCACACCAAGAAGATCCTCAGGTGCTTCTCCTTGGATCGGTTGTTATACGCAGAAGTGTATTGTCCCTACGAGATGGATCTTTCGTCTTGGGTGCCAACCTTCAATAGTGCTGTTATATCTTTTGATTAATTCGTCACTTTGCCCGCGTTTCAATTCCAATGTTTCAACTGCTTGAATTGGCAGGTGTGTTGATTTGCATTGGCAAAAAAAAAAAAAAGTGTTTCATTTCTATAGTTTTAATTCATTCAATTAGTTGCTATTTTACATTGTACTCGGTTTGCCCAAGTGAGGGTGCAAGGATCCATCCAACTAGTACATCAGACGTTGTTAATGTCTTTCCTGATATTTGTAATGAGGTGGTGATTTCGGATCTTCTGGTGTTAATGTCTAACCCATTTGCCTTATGTGGTTTCTTCAATGGGTATGCAATTGGTTATGGGTTTTGTGTCCATAGTGTCTTTATCTGATTAAAACCGAGAGCAACTCCAGCGAGGCCTCTACTTGAGCCCCAATAGCTAAATATGGCTGCCCAGGCAAAAAACGCAGCTCCAGCAGGGCCCCTACTAGAGCCCCCAATTTGGGGTGGGCACCCAAATCTCCCCCTCGGGCCCAATTCCTGTTGGCCCAACAGCTCGACCCCCATCCTCGCGGGCGCTACTCCTCGCCTCCTTCCGCGTGCGCTGCTCCGTCATCCGTCGCGTGGGCCGCTGCACCGACGCGCCGGCCGTTGCTCCGCCGCGCGCGCTCCCCCCCCCCCTTCCCACGACAGTGCTCCCTCCCTTTCTCTCCCTGCGACACGCGACGGCGTTCCGTCCCCTTCCCTGCAACCAGCAACGACGCGATGGCGCTCCCCTTCTCCTCCCGCACGTCCGGATCTGCTACAGGGCCGGCTCCTTCCCCTCGCCGCGCTCCACCCGTAGGCGCTCGTTGCCGTCGCTCTTTCTTCCCCCATTGTGTTGAGATAGCTCAGTTGCTAGAACAGAAGATGGCAAGTGGGTCCCAATTATCATTATCTGTTAAAAAGGATTTGGGGGCTTTGATTTGGGGGCTTCTGCTGGAGGAGATTGCAAAATAGAGGGCCAACAAAAATAGGGAGAGCACCCAAATCAAATATGGGGTCCTGATTTGGGTCCTCCTACTGGAGTTGCTCAGATGGTGACGCTCTTTAAAATAACAACCCTCTTTCTCTCCACCTCAGGTCTTGTTTGATACACATATATCCATCTCATCCATGTGTGTTTGAGTGGTTTGGTGTTGGCACATGGATTGAGATGAATAAATAGACATCCAAACAAAGCCTCTATGGTGGTACATCTGGCTCTTTTGAAGAGCTTGTGAGGTTTTTGGGGTTGTGTATCAATGGATGCTAGCACCGGATAGATCGGACTATTTAGCAATTATATGGGTCCTTTCTTGGGTATGGACGACCTATTGTAGTTTTTAAAAGCCATTGCATGATTATATGGGTCCGAAATATTGATTGGCTTTCTGTTTGTCCTCGTTTGCGCCTGTGCCTATGGTGATGTTATCTATGTTGATGTGATAAAACATAGATGGATCATGATTGAGATGGATGTGGTGGTGAAGAATTTGTCGATTCTAATTTTATTTTTTTCTACCGTGGTCTTTCATGTAATGTTTATTATTATTTTGCTACTGCCTCCATACCAGAGAGAATTCAATTGAACATTTAAAATGTATCCTCAAAAGAATGCAAATATAACTGGATATGGTATCATAAAAAGAAGTGTCATGTGGATAGATGATGGCAGTAAAGCGTAGTCTTAGTATAATCTTCAACGTGGAAAGAATTCCGCAACCACAGCGCTCGAGCTAGTGTGCAATACTGTTTGCTTACTATTGACAACACTTTTTGACATCGTTTAGCGCCCTGTGTTGGCTACTGTTTACAATACTGTTTATCACTATTTAGAAATACTGCTCGTCTGCTCTTTGCGCTTTTTACTTCATGTGCTCTTGGCGTTGTTTACTTCATGTTTACTGTTCACGTGGTAAAAAATGGGTGTCCTAATAGTGTTTGTGGATACAATGATTTGCATTGGTTTAACATGTGTAAGGACATATGCCTCTAACATTGTCTCCAATAAAGAGACCTATACAAGCATCCAAACCCAAAATAAGCAACAGAGATTAAAAATTAGCCTCTAACAGACTACCTATACGGGAGACCCATTTTGGGTTGCCTGAGAGACACAATCCAAATATGAGTATCATCTTTCCTGAAAATCCATTTGCAGAAAGGATTCTCTTTTGGGTCCTGTTGTTGGAGAAGATGTCGAATAAGTATTGAACCATTTGCATGTAGCACTACCTAAATGCCAAATGGATCTTGTATTTTGGATGTTGTTGTTGGAGAGAGTCTAACCCCCTACTCATGTGAGCTCATTGTTGCAGCGCCATCCTCAACTCCTCATCGATAAGTGACGACATGGGGGATTGATGGCAGCAAGCAGGCCATTAGATGCTGGAAGACTGGTCCAGAGATGTTCTATGTCGCAATGTTGCCCACACCGCCCACCTATGCGGTTCTATAGTGGCATTGCCCAATGTATGCAATGGGAGAGCAAGGGGACGAAGACTTGTGCGGAGCCACTCGGACTGAGATTGGTGTGCAGATGCGACTAGAGACGGGGACCCCAGCGCTTGTGAGCCGAGCATAAACCTATTGTGAAGCCGAGCGCCAGCATCCCATGAATGCGCTCTAGTCTTTTTATTATTATTTGGATCCACATGTGTGTGGCATATGAGCAGGGTATGCACTGGAGGCCGAATTGACCCATGGTCAACGGATTTTTTTTTCTTTGCGCCTCAAATTTGATGGGCGAAGTTCAGACCACCGGTCCTACGTCTCCACCAAGGTTCTGGGATCCTGCCCGAAAGGACCAAATTTCAACGAAACTCGTCCATTTCGGCTTAGCCCCAAATAAAACTAAACCGGCCAAAATATTTTGGCCCTGTTCAAATTTTCAGCCCACTCTACAGTCCAACAAAGGGCTCACCGACCTTCATCCATCAATACGATGCTAAAAAAACATCCTCACGATCCCTAGCTAGCGTGCGATGCTTGGGAGCCGCCGCCAGCAGCACGTCTTCGCTCCTCACCACAGCCACCGCGAGAGCCGTGGTCGCTTCCCGATGCCTGAGCTCGTGCCATGGATGGTCCTTGATGCCGCCCCTGTGCCATGGCCTCACCTCGACGCCCGCTGCCACGCCGTCACCGCCTCTGCCGCGCCATCGCTGCCATCTGCGCACCTTTTGCTGCCACCAGCGCGACGTTGCCACCCTCCCCATGGCCTGCGTGTTCCACGACGGCGCCGCATGCGCCCTTTCCATGCCACTGCCATGTCTGAGAGTTTGAGAAAATTTTGTTCAGTTTTGCTCAAATTCCATTCAAATTTGTAGTGAATACCGGTCTGAATTCCGAAATTTCAGAATTTCGTCCAATTCGATGAGCTCTGAATTTTTTCAGAAAAGAATCCCAGAACCTTGGTCTCCACCGACCATTCACCCTGCTCAGATTAACTCACCAAAGTTTGTTTTTGCCCACCTCAGTAGGTAGCTAAGTGCCTATACAAGTTGGAAATCGATTCGGTGTTACACCACCACCACCGGCCACCGAGATCGACACCACCACCGGCCACCGAGATCGATCTCGGAGTCACCTTTCCAGAACAGCAGATAAGTCTAATCTCTCACACTTACTAACTAGTTGTACTAGAGTATAGGATTTGGTGAGAGGTTGAACTAATATGCATGTGGGCACAATAGATGTGATCAAAGGCTCTCTCTGTTGTTCTTCCATACGCTAAGTATTTTGGCTTAGCTATGTAGCCCCTGACGTGGATTGATCCTTAGCTAGTCCCCCATGCTAGTGGGGCAGTCCATATAGATCAATCATAGTCACCTACCACAGATTCATAACATATCCATAGGTATGTATAGAAGGCATGAGAGAAATATAGTTTTTCTTTCTAACTACCACTCCTAAATTTATACAACAGTCCTATGTGTTGGATGCATGTATATGGACACATGTCATGAACCTAAGTTAGGTGCCCACAATTACTCCATGAGTACCGTCCCGAATGACACCGTGAGCTAGACTTGATCATTTCTTGGGTTAGGTGGCTTCAGATCAAGTTGCACAAAACCCGAAAAAAAAAGGGGTTGGGCATACCAAATCAAACACGAGATGTTGCAGCCTATGGGATCGACCAGGCCTCAGAGCCAGAAATCAAACACTCCCGTGAACACAAAATACATAGCCAATCGCATACCCCTTCGAAGAAACAACGTAAGGAAGATGTGTCAGCGATTAACACCAGACGATCCAACACCCTTACAACTGTTACAAAACTGAGGAAAGATGGATGCTTTATATATTGGAAAAAATCCGTTTTTGGCCCTCCAACTATGACAACAGTTTGGTTTTAGCCCTTCAACTCTAAAACCAGACACCCACAGTCTATCAACTCTGTAAACCAGATAGAAATGGCTCTCGCGCCAGCGCGACGGCAGTTTCCGCCCGGTCAACCCGCGACGACCGCGGTATTGGGCCTTTTTCATTTTCTATCCCTTCGCAGGCCCCGCCTGTCAGGCCTGAAGAGAGAGAGAGAGAGAGAGAGGGAGAGCAGAGCGGCGGAGGGGACGGAGGCAGAGCAAAGCGAGAGAGATGGAAGGGGCAGGGCGAGCGAGCGGAGCAGGGCGGCGGCAGAACTCGGCTCCGACGCGTAGGGCGTCGTTGGGCTTCGGACGGCGTCCGTCGCAAATCGAGGGAGGGAGATAGCAAGGAGAGAAGAGCGCGCAAGGCGGAGAGAGATTTGGCTCCGGCGGCTCGCCGGCTTGGGGTGCCGGGGCTGCGGCGGCTGCAAACTCCGGCGTGTAGGGGCGGTTTCCCGCGCTAGCGTCCCCTGTTTCCAACTGAGAGAGAGAGATAGCAGAGCGAGGGGGAAGAGAAGAAGAGAGCAGAGAGAGGGCGATGGCGGTGACGGCCTTGGTGCCGACAGCGACGACCTAGGCGAGGAAGGCGAAGGGCGGGGCTCCCGGTGCGGCGTAGGGCGTCGGTGCTACGGCGGCTCGAGGCACGAGCGCCTGCGGGCTGGAGTAGCCCATCTCCAGCGTCGGCGGCTTCGGCACCGGCGGCTCTAGGCTCCGGCGTGGAGCTGACTGCTGCAGTCGGGCAGCGTAAAGAGAGGAGAATGGAGACGCGGAGCCCCTGCGCGGCAGCCGTTGCAGGACGAGGCGGATCTACGGCGTGCTCGAACTCGAGCTCGATCCTCCGAGCTTGGTGAGGCGACGTGACGAGCTGCGGGCTCCTACTGCGCCGACGCCAACGCCGCACGCAGATCTTTGAGTTCGAGCCGCCATTGGAGGTCCTGTCGCGCCTCGACGCCGCGCCTCCCCGCCGCGCCTTCGCCCGACGCCATGGAGCTCGGCTGCGTCTGCCGCCGCCGCTTCGCTGCTGCGCGCCCGCGGTGCCACTTTCGTTGCTTTCGCTTCGCGGGCCCCGCGTCCTGCTCGCCGGTGATAGCCGGCCACGGGAAGCTCGAAGTCCGGCGCGACGCGGGCGAGAGAGAGGACATGAGCGCGACGCGGCGGTCATGCTGCTCCTCCCGGCCTGACGCGGCGGTCATGCTGCTCCTCCGCGTCCTGACGCTGTCGGCAAGCTGGCCCGCCTGAACCGGCCATCAGAGCTCCATTAGGCCGAGTTGGCGGCCTCCGAGCTCCGGGTGCTGCTGGGCTCCGTCACCACGGCGCCCTTGCACCACTCCCCGGCGCACGCACCCGCACGCGCGAGCGCGCAGCCGTACAGGGAGTTGCAGAGGCGGCGGTCGCACGCGCAGTCCGCGGCAATGGAGGGGAAAACAGAGTAGCACGACGGCAGTGCTTGGCTGCTGCGTCAGCGCCTCGGCGCGCTCCCGTGGCGCTTCAGCGAATCCGGGCCACAAGGGCGCAGAGATGGTGGTCCAAATGGCCGGGCGAGGGCAGCTTCGGCAAGCGCGGCTCCGGCGTCCTGCGGCGTGGTGGCGCTCGCCTTCGGCGGGTCCGTGCTGTGCGTGTGCGAGCTCGAGCTCAAGCTTGGAGTTTCGCAGGCGAGGGTCGGGTCTGCGCACGGCGAGGGCAAGGGCTGCGCTGGAGCAAGCAGCCGAAGAGAAGCAGAGCTCGCTCGCCCCTGCCCCTTCCATCTCTCTCGCTCTGCTCTGCCTCCGTCCCCTCCGCCGCTATGCTCTCCCCCTCTCTCTCTCTAAGGCCTGACAGGCGGGGCCCGCGAACGGATAGAAAATGAAAAAGGCCCAATACCGCGGTCGTCGCGGGTTGACCGGGTGGAAACCGCCGTCGCGTCGGCGCGAGGGCCATTTCTATCTGGTTTACAGAGTTGATAGACTGCGGGTGTCTGGTTTTGGAGTTGAAGCGCTAAAACCAAACTGTTGTGGTAGTTGGAGGGCAAAAACAGACTTTTTCCTTATATATTTGGATGAAACCTTAAACAACTACTCCATCCGTACTAAATTATAAGTCACTTTGATTTTTTGGGTATATTCCTCTGTTCCAAATTATAAATCACTTTGACTTTTCTGGTTCATCTATTTTGCTATTATATTTAGATGTATATAGTAAAATGGATAAACCAGAAAAGTCAAATGGATGAGGTAGAAAAGTCAAAATGACTTATAATTGGAACCGAGGGAGTACTCAACTGTATGGATGGATCCTCGCACCCTCATTTGGCCGTTAGGCGAGCAGAGTCGAATGAAAAATAGCAAATAATTGAATACTAGTAGCTAATAAAATGTTTTGCCCATACAAGCAGTTGAGACATTTGCGTTGAAAAGCAGGCAGACATCGACATGGTCGAATGAATCAAAGGGTAACAGCATTACTGAAGGTTGGCACCCAAGACGAAAGGTCCACCTCGTAGGGGCAATACACTTGCATCCGACGATCTGGGGAGAAGCACCTGACGATCTTCTTGGAGTGGAGATCCAGCCACAGCAAACAGTAGACATCAATCTGAAGGAGCACGGCGCCACTCCTCTCACCAAACCACAATAGCTCAGGGACATGCTTCCTCTTCCCCCACCTCCTCTCCTTCTCGAGAAGCTCGGCCAGGACATCATCCTTGAACCCAAGGATCGTCTCGTTCTCTATCACCACCTGCGGCCGCGGCTTCCACATCTTGGTGTGCTTCGACTGCTCCCAGGCGGATATCCTGTCGGCGTCGGCGACGAGCACGACGGGGTTCCCGCCCGCCGTAGACGTCGCCAAGAGGTACTGATGTCTCCGGTCGTACTGGATGTTCTTGCCGTCGCGGGGGAAGCTCACCGGGAGAGCCGTCACGTTCACCCGCGCCGCTCTCACGTGGAGCATGAGCATGTAGCTCCCGCTGTCGGTCAGGTACAGCCAGTGAACGACGTCGCCGACGACCAGCGGCCTTCCGTACCGCTTGCCGCTACTCCCGTGTAGGTTAGGAGTCGGGATCTCCGTGAGCGGGGACCATGCGCCGTGCTCCGACGAGAAGGTGTGCACCAGCAGGCAACGGTAAGTACGGTACTGTGACAGCACTAGCGTCGACTTAAGCACTTGGAAAGGCCGGCTGACGGCTGCGGCGGCGCCGTCACCTCCCTCGTCGTCCCTGCCGCCGATGAGCAGAACATACTGTACGCCGCACGTACTCCAGTCCGTACTCCAGTAGGCATACGGGAACGCCGGTTCCGGCGGGAGGGCCAGGCAGCGACGGGTAGCCAGGTTGCACACGAGCAGCTGTCGCTGATAATGCGTGTTATTCTGAGTCGTCGTCGTCGTGGCGCGGACAAGGACGAGGCCGCCGCGCGAGTCCATTGACACGACGCTCCTCATCGTCTGGTCGGCCTCAGCGAAGGTGGCCTTGACGAGACGGGTGGCGTCCGCCGCGATGGTGGTATCCACCATGTACACGTCGGTCTTCTCCCCGCCGGTGTAGGTCGTGATCCCCGCCAGGTGGCCGCGCAAGAGAGGGAGGACGAACCGCTCCGTGTCGCGGAGGCGGAGCCGGCCGAGGAGGCTGGGGTCCTCGGCGATGTGGCGGCGCGCGTCCCTGCACGTGGCCGCGCACCGCACGAGGGTGGCCGGGTCGGAGCGCGCCGCGATCTCCGCGATGATGATGTCGAGCGGGAGCCACGCCGCTTTCTGGCGGTGTCCACGCCGCTCTCCCCTGCCTGGCTGCTGTGCGCGCGAGACGTCGCCGCCGCCGCCGCCCGCCATGGGTTGGATCTGGATGGGTTCGTGGAATAAGGTCTCGGTTTTGCGTGGCAATATGATTGTGGTTTGGGCTCGCCGCTCGCGGCCGTAATAACGAATCGATGCCGTCACGCGCAAGTTGGACCTGGCTAATCTGGGCCGCGTCTCCGACTCCGTTCAGGCCGGCCTAATAATCCTGAGTACCCAGAACCCCACTGCTGCAAATCCATACTCGCACCTTTTTTGACAATGTGCATCCAACGGTTGATATGCAGTGTGTGTGAGTCTGTGGTTGGAGGTGGAGTCAGGACGCATGTGTATTCGCAAAAAAAAAGAAAAAAAAAGAAAAAAAAGAAAGAGGGATTGCATGTGCGAGGATGGATGGCTGAGATAAGACATGTGTTTACATGGGCACGTGTCATGTGTGGTTGCCTTCTTGTGCACTAATCTACAGGAAAACTAGGCACCAATCTGCCTCTACCAACATCAGCCTCTCCCTTACCTCTCAACTCTCAAGTCATTTATGCAGAAGCAGTTTGCATACAATTACATAAATACATATTATTGTAATTAAAAATGTTACTATTTCTTTGTTCTCTATATACACATCATAGTTTTTTTCTAGAAGTTTTTTTTCCAAAAGATCCGGCAAAGACAGCTTATATTAATAAGTAGGAGCAGATACATACGCCAAAGACATAATAATACAACTAAAATAACTTGCTCGGCATGGATTACCGACCAAGGTGAAAAACCTAAGGGATCATTTTGCTAGCTACATCCACTTCAGTTTCACCTAATAATCTGTCATTGTCAATGTTTGCTATGAAATACAAACACAGGAAAGTGGTAATACTGACATTGAAGGAGTTGACTCGAGCAATGCATGCTATGGCGGAACAGCTGCCCTGTTGAACTGTGTGAATTGGGTTGAGAGTAAATCATGGGATGGACGTTATGGCCTTGTCGTTTGCACAGACAGCGCGGTTTGTCACCTCAAATCACCTAGTTTTGGAACCTAGTTGTTAAGTCTACCCCTTCTGTCTCTGTGCAACATTTAGCACTAGACTACCTTATGCAATTTTTCTTTTCATGTTTATGCAGAAGGACCTGCTCGTCCTACAGGGGGTGCTGCTGCTATTGCAATGCTTATTGGTCCAGATGCTCCTATATCTTTTGAAAGAAAATATAAAGCTTCCCACATGGCCCATGTTTATGATTTCTACAAGCCAGATCTTGCAAGTGAATACCCGGTAGGATTCAGCCATGTCCACTCTCATGTCTATGACTGTAATTACTTTGGCATGCTAACAGGGACTTCTCTAAATCACAGTGATACTTTTCGTTATTCCTTTCTCAGGTTATCTATCATATTTTCTATGCCATTGCTTATTTCCTGGACTTATATTATGTAGGTTGTTGATGGAAAGTTATCTCAAACATGCTGCTTGATGGCTCTAGATTCATGTTATAGACAGTTTTGTACCAAGTAAGCTTGCTGCGATTACTATTGTATTGGTCTTGAGTAACATCCTATTCATGCATGGTGAGTGACATTAGGTATGAAAAGCTAGTCGGAGAACAATTCTCAATATCTGATGCAGATTACTGCGTGTTCCATTCTCCATATAATAAGGTATCGTGACTTCACGCTTGCTCAAATACTAATAATTTTTAGCAGCTGATTAATTCTTCCCATCCATTCACCTAATTTATGTGGAATGCTAACACTTCCATTTATTATCGCAGCTTGTGCAGAAGAGTTTCGCCCGACTCTTCTTTAATGATTTCATGCACAATTACAGGTGCATTTTGTTTTCTTTACACTTAAATTGCATTCGTTTTCCTACTTATTAATACTTATCCTTTTGGTATGTCAACCAAATAATGTTCTGAAGTTCTCTAAGACCTCCCTTTTGGGAGGTACAAGTTACCCTTTCTTTATTCAACGCTTTTGGTCCCCAGGCAAAGCTTCTTATCTATTTTCTTTTCTTTCTTCAATACTAGCTCAGTTGATAACGATGCTAAAGAGAAGCTTCTACCTTTTGCAAATCTGACTAGTGAAGAAAGTTACTAAAGCCGTGACTTGGAAAAGGTTCTTTCTTATTTGGTGGATAATTCTTAAAGCTTAATTGATGTAAGCACTAAGCTGATCCTATGAACTTTCAGCCTTCTCAACAAGTTGCAAAGCATTTGTATGACATCAAAGTTCAACCGTCAACTTTGCTTCCAAAACAAATCGGTAACATGTATACTGCATCTCTGTATGCAGCACTAGCATCTGTAATCTACAACAAGCACAACAGTCTAGTGAGTTTTGTGCCTTTATTCCATGCACTTATGTATCTTCATCCTGCACAGCTAATTTTTGCTTCTTATACAGGCTGGCCAACGAATTATTATGTTCTCATACGGCAGTGGCTTGACATCGACATTGTTCTCATTAAGATTGCATGAGGGACTATACTGTACGTCTTGCGGGTTTTGCATACAAGTTTGTTGTGTCCGCGAACACTTGTCCGCAAGATCCGCAGCTTTGTGGCAAGCCGCAAGCCCGCTAATAAACTTTACGGCAATCGAGGCGGGTTAGCGGCCGGCCGCGAACGAGCCCTGCTGCAAGTTGAATGTGCATCCAACGGTTGATATGCAGTGTGTGGGAGTCTGTGGTTGGAGGTGGAGTCAGGAGTCAGGACGCATGTGTATTTGCAAAAAAAAAAAAAAAGGATTGCTTGTGCGAGGATGGATGGCTGAGATAAGACATGTGTTTACATGGACACGTGTCATGTGTGGTTGCCTTCTTGTGCACTAATCTACAGGAAAACTAGGCACCAATCTTCCTCTACCAACCTCTGCCTCTCCCTTACCTCTCAACTCTCAAGTCATTTATGCAGAAGCAGTTTGCATACAATTACATAAATACATATTATTGTAATTAAAAATGTTACTATTTTTTGTTCTCTATATACACATCATAGTTTTTTTCTAGAAGTTTTTTTCCAAAAGATCCGGCAAAGACAGCTTATATTAATAAGTAGGGAGCAGATACATACGCCAAAGACAATAATACAACTAAAATAACTTGCTCGGCATGGATTACCGACCAAGGTGAAAAACCTTAGGGATTACTCACGACCATGGCCGACGAGGATAGCCAGCGGGCGAGGAGCTGCTTGGGGAGGGGGAGGACACACGGCCACCGCAAGTTGAAGAGAATAGAGCTAGATCCTCCCAAATCCAAACGCCCAGCAACGGATGGCGTGCCACCGCGAGCAGCTTGCAGATCCGGACAAGCCACCACAGGAGGAAGCAGATCCGAGCAGGGCCGCCACAGATCCGCAGGAGAAGCGCCGGAAACGGCGAGAAAGCCGGTAGCCATTAGAGAGGAGAATGGGAGAGGAGAGGTCGCCGCGAGCCAAAAACTTTTTGGAGCGGCAGCGGGCCGCCATCGCCGCGCTCTAGATGGTGGCGACAGCGGCCGGGGATGGGCTATGACGGTGGAGCATGAGCTGGCGGCGACGATCGCCCTTCCCGTCGCCCTGAGAGACGACATGGAGGGGTGCAGGAGCGGTTGCCTCTAGTCCACCGGAGGTTCATTTAAAGATTCATTTGAGTAAAAATTATTTTCTATATCTTCGTACTCTTCAAAAACTTTTCCATATCCTGTGCCGAGTTTAGAGAGCCATTCTCACTCTCTATCTTTAACTAGCGAGAAATCCGAAATAAAAAATATGTATATTTAGATATCTAATAGAGGCTGTTGGAAGGTATTTTTTCACCTAAACCTCTATTTCTGTAAACTAGGAAGGATATAAAGAGTTTCTTGGATATGCTTATTTCGATGAAACCTTAAACAGCTAATGATCTACTGTATGGATGGATCTCACACACTTGGGCGACCAGAGTCGAATGGAAAATGGCAAGTATTGAACGAATTAAAACTATAGAAATTAAATACTAGCTAAAATGTTTTGCCAGTGCAAACAGTTGAGACATTGGAGTTGAAAAGCATGCAAACATCATCGGCGAATTAATCAAAGAGTAAAAGAGCTACTGAAGGTTGGCACCCAAGACGAAAGATCTAACTCGTAGGGTCAATTCACTTTGCGTATTGCATCCGACGATCCGAGCAGAAGCATCTGACGATCTTCTTGGAGTGGAGATCCAGACAGAGAAAACAGAAGCCATGAATCCGAATGAGCACGACGCCGCTCCTCTCACCAAACCACAATAGCTCTGGGACATGCTTCCTATTCAACCACCTCCTCTCCTTCTCGATCAGCTCGGCCAGGCCACCGTCATTGAACCCCAGGATCATCTCGTTCTCTATCACCACCTGCGGCCGCGACTTCCACATCTTGGTGTGCTTCGACTGCTCCAAGCCGGATATCTTGTCGATGTCGGCAACGAGCACGACGGGGTTTCCGCCCGCCGAAGCCGTCGCCAAGAGGTACCGATGATCGTTGTACGGATGGTTGTTCTTGCTGTCGCGGGGGAAGCTCGCCGGGAGAGACGTCACCTTCACCCGCGCCGCTCCCACGTGGAGCATGAGTATGTAGCTGCCGCTGTCGGTCAGGCACAGCCAGTGAACGACGTCGCCGATGACCAGCGACCTGAGGTGCGACGACCGGTTGCCGCTCCCGTGTAGGTAAGTAGGTTAGGAGTCGGGATCTCCGTGAGCGGGGACCATGCGCCGTGCTCGGACGAGAAGGTGTGCACCAGGAGGCGACGGTAAGAACAGTACTGTGACAGCACTAGCTTCGCCTTGAGCACTTAGGAAAGGCCGGCCGACGGCGGCGTCGGCACCGGCACCCTCGCCGTAGCTGCTGCCGACGAGCAGAACATACGTTACGCTGCCCGTACTCCAGACGGAGTCCGGGAACGCCGGTTCCGGCGGGAGGGCCAGGCAGCGACGGGTAGCCAGGTTGCACACGAGCAGCTGTCGCTGATGATGCGTGTTATTGCGAACAAGGACGAGACCGCCGCGCGAGTCCAGGGGCACGACGTTCCTCAGCGTCTCGTCGGCCTCAGTGAAGGTGGCCTTGACGAGACGGGTGGCGTCCGCCCCGGTGGTGGTATCCACCATGTACACGTCCGTCTTCTCCCCGCCGGCGCCGGTGTTGGTCGTGATCCCCGTCATGTGGCCGCGCAGGAGAGGGAGGACGAACCGCTCCGTGTCGCAGAGGCTTAGGCGGCCTTGGAGGCTGGGGTCCTCGGCGATGCGGCGGCGCGCGTCCCTGCACGTGGCCGCGCACCGCACGAAGGTGGCCGGGTCGGAGCGCGCCGCGATCTCCGCGATGATGATGTCGAGCGGGAGCCACGCCGCTTTCTGGCGGTCTCCCCGCCGCCCTCCTCTGCTTGGCTGTTGTGTACGCGGCGAGACGGGGACGACGTCGCCGCCGCCGCCCGCCATGGATAGGTTCGTGGAAGATGAGGAAGGTCTCGGATTTGCGTGCCAATATGATCGTGGTTTGGGCTCGCCGCTCGCGGCCGTAATAACGAAGCAATTCCGTCACGAGCGCAAGTTGGGCCTGACTGATAATTTGGGCCACTTCTCCATTCAGGCCGGCCTAATAATAATCGTGAGGACCCAGAACATCAGGGACGGCTAATTTGCTGTGTAACTCGAAACGAGCTCAATCAGATTTTCATTTATGCAGATTCGTCAAGTACAAAGCTCCAAGCCGGGATGATATATGGCCTCTAGAGTCCAGAGCTTAGCAGTGGGAGTGGAAACATGCATGGTCACGTTCCACGTTCCGGAAGCGTCCACTTTTCGGGAACAGGAACATTTACGTTACTACGTTAAAAAATAACATCCTAAATTTCCATTCTCATTCCACGTTCTCATTCATCATGGGAACAAGACTGCTAAGGTCGAGAGCAGAAGGCGCACAACGGTATTTGATTTTATTATTAACACCTTGTCGACGAAATACGTCCGACAGTCTACCGAGGAGTATGCCTACGGTAGTAGATAAATCGGTGGAGGTGCGCGTGAGGGAACCGGATGGTGGCATAGAACGCAAGAGACAGCGATTAGACAGGTTCGGGCCGTCAGCTTGACGTTTTGTGGATTGTATTACGTATGATCAGATAAAAACGAGGGGGTTCTTACCCGTCTTATATAGCTCGGAGGGTAGGGTTACAGATCGGTTGTTTCTATCCTGACCGGTTTTACAAGATAGGAAGTTACAGATATTACGGGATCTTGTGTATCCGAGCAGGTATCCTAGATCACCGGAAATCTCCATGCAGTCTTGCGAGGCACGTCGACCGGTATCGTGCCTTGTACGGCGCTGTCTCGTGGGCTGGGCCTCACCAGTGGCGTGCCCTAGGCGCAGTCTTGTGGGCTGGGCCTCCGCTAGCGGCTCGGCCCATGTACAACCTTGCTGGTATCGGGGGTTATACCCCCACAGCTAGTCTCCGAGCGTCTTGCATCCATTGGGCAACACCATCTTAAGCTTGTCCGAGCTGTTGAGCATGCTCTGAGCTGCTGAACATGCCATCCGAGCCGTTTGACCATGCACCCGAACTGTCTGAGCATGCGTCCGAGCTGTTCGTTTGGTTGCTAGAGCCGAGCACACTCGAAGCTAGGGTTTGTCAGAAGGATGTAAGGAGCTCAAGTAAAAAAAATTCAAAGTCTCCATCTTGGGTGAAGTGTGCCCACTTAGGTTCCGAGCGTCGAAACTGGTCGCATGTCGTCCTTGACTTAGTTAATGCGGAGGAACTTAGCCATTTTGAAGAAGATGAAGTCAAAAAATAAGCACATTCACCGCGAGGTGAAGTGTGCCCACTTAGTCCCCGAGTCTGACAGTAGGTGAAGTAGTCACGTGGTGCCAGGGTCCAAAGTAGCGGTCTTCATGTGCTGGCCCAATCCCCAATGTCGCTGAAAACCAGTGTAGAAATAAATACAGTCATCACGAGATGACGTGTACACACGTAGTCCCCGAGCCTGTTGGAAGATTACGAAGAAATCTTGTAATAGGGTCCGAGAAAGAAAATATTGTGCCATAGCACACTCAGCATTGAATATCAGCCTGTGTTTGACATGGATTGACGCAGCGGCCCACCAGGCCCACTCAGCGGCCCAGCGGGGTGTAGAAACGTCGGAGGGGAATGCGGCGTGGCGGGTGCGGTTTCCCAAAAACCCTAGAAGGCGGAAGGTCAGGGGTCGAATCATTATAAAAGCACCGCAACCCCGACGCACATTCTCCACTTTCTCTCCGCCACTTCATCTTCTTCCTCGCGCCCACACTGCTTTGCCTGGCAACTGTTCCGCCATTAGAGCAACCACAAGCGGACAACCTCATCCTGGCAACGAATCTATGAGATGGCGCCCAAAAGAAGCCACGACAGTTCGAGTAGAGGATCACGCGAGCTCAATCACGCCGAGGAATGGGTGGTGTCTATTAGTAACGAGGCGGTGCTCAATCGGTTGGTGGAAGACAGCGTGCTGCCCGATAGGGTGATGGCGGGATGGCGTCCGGCTCATGGTGAGAGCTTTCTGACTCCCCGTGGCGACGAATTAGTAGTTTTTAAATATTATTTCTATCGCAGATTTGGTGTTCCAATCCATCAGTTTCTCCGTGGATTGATTGACTATTACAAGATTAGTCTTTGCAATCTGAGCCCGAATTCCATCCTACATGTCCCTATCTTCATATATTTCTGCGAGGCTTATCTTAGCATTCTTCCACATTTCGATCTCTTCCACCACTTCTTTTGTTTGAAAGCCTGGGGGATCTGGATTAGGATCGTAGGCAGCGCATACTTGCAGCTTCGGGACAGGATGGTTGCCCAATACATCGCCACCCTATTGAACACGAATGCGAAGTATTGGGCACAGCAATAGTTCTACATGCCATAGGGGGAACACTATGTGGCATGCGACATTGATCAGATCCCCGTGAGCAACGCCAAGTGGTCGGAGAGACCTGGTGCCAATGGGATGGAGCAAGTGACGGAGCTATTGGCACTGATCGACCGGAGAAGGGTGGATGGTGTCGTAGTGGCGACAAACTTTACTTTTCGACGATGTCAGCCCAGCAAGGAGAGAGCACACCCCGGATATGAATACCAGGGACATACTGATGGGACCCGTGAGGTGCCCAAGTCGATTAACCGGGAGGAAGTCATGCGGTGAATTAGGGCGTTGTTTAACCTCGTGAAGCGCCATAAGATCGACGATCAGCACAGGGCCTTCAGTGTAGGGTCCCTCCCACCACGGGTAAGAGCCTTCTTTTTAATTTCGCTTGATCCCTTATCCATTGAAATTGCAATATACTCATTCATTTTCTTGAAGATTTGTAGGCAGGATCAGTCGGTATACTTCTCGACGGTGCCATCAGCTGACTGGCCGAGGGGTGTTGATGCCCGGCCAAGCCATCCTCAGCGTCGAGCTAGCTCAGAGGCTAGTGGGGATAGCTCAACCGACGTTGATGGCGAAGATGAAGATGCGTGGATGTCGTATGCCCACGAGAAGCTCCGGAAGCGGTCGGCTGGCGAGGAGCCATCCCCAAAAAGAAGAAAAATGGTTGTGTCGTCTCACCATGAAGAGAGTCCGGTAACCATTGGCGCATCCGCCCAGCCTCGAAGACAGCAAGTGGTGATGTCAAGATCGTCGGACGATGATGAACAAGCGGCGCCTCCTTCACCGAGGGCCATGACGCCCCTGCCGTCTACGTCGGCTGGGGCAAAGACATGGGAGAGGCGGCGAACGTGGGGGGCTATAGCAACAACGCCTAACCGCATGTGGGGGGCACCTGCAGCAGCTTGGGTAGCACCATCAATTACAGACCGAGCGGCTACCGTAGTCCCCGAGACCACGCGGACAACTCCAATAGCGGCGGCACAGGTGACCACCGCAGTCCCCGAGACGACGCGAACGACTTTGGCGGCAGGGGTAGAGGCGCCGAGTAGTTTGGCTGCTGGTTAGACCGGTCCTAGGCGGGGACACAGGTTCTGAGCTGTGCATCGGGAGTCCTAGTTCTAAGTGCTTTATTTATTTGGCGTATTCCTTCGGCGCGGTGGTATGCTTCTTAAATTTTTTTGGTAGTTCGGAGTCGATGGAGGTCCTGCAGCCATTGGCTGCTGATGATGGAAGGCACACGGAGGAGCCGGTAGCTCCCCTTGCTGAGCAAGCACGGTCAAGGATGGATCCGGTTGCCCCTACCATGGAGCAACCGACTGTTGTAGAACCGACCACCCCTACTATGGAGGAGCCCACAATGACTGGACCGACCTCACCTGGCGACAGATTGCATGATGTCGGTGATCCTAGTGTAGAGGAGGCGTGGGATGCTACGGCAACATCGGGTAGCCTTGGCGAAGCAGGTACAGAACCTACGGAGGACGCCCCGAGTAGTGCAACACAAGGTTCACCCGTGATTGCTGAACAAGCGCCGCCAATGGCGGGAGAGGCGCTCGGACGCTTTGGCCGAGCACGGTGGCAACCAAGGAGGGCACCTTTGCTGGTGGCCATTGTGGAGATCGAAGAGATAGTGTGGGAGCCCACCCCGCCGCCCCAACTCCTCCTCACGGTCATTCAGCATGGCGAAGAGTTTGAGATGCTAGAGGAGGTGGAGGCGAGCGTGGAGATGAAGAAGCTAAGGGTCGATCTGACATCAATGATAGGTCGTATTGAGGTAAGCCTGAAGAGATCTTCTCTATCTTTTAAATAGCATAGTCTGTTAATCTGTTCGCCTGCTGCAGAATGTGATGAAGGTGTCCGAGCAGCGCCGGCGGCAACTGGAGGAGATGTCTCTAGTGCTGGAGGAGAACAAGAGTCTACAAGCATCGGTGAAAGACCTCCAGGCATGCCTGCTCCAAGAGCGCCACCGCAGGGAAGACCTAGAGGTGAAGGTTCTGGCGTTGGAGATAGAACGCCAACAAATGGAGGTGGAGAGCCAATCAATGGCCAAGCAACTTAGGTGTAGCACTGATCGGTAGAAAGGTAGGTCTTGGAATTTTGCTTTGGTGGTATTCAGCATTGTGAGACATCTGACTGTTATACACAGCACTGGAGATGGAGCTCGACCTTTCCCAAGAGGCCTTTGGCCAGATTCAGGAGGCGAAGGAGAAAGCGAAGGAGAAGGTCAAAAAATCACTAAAGATCTTCGACGTGAGTATTTTTCACGCTATTTGGACTTGTGCGGCGTTAAGCGCTTGCTTATCATATGTCTGTCTTGTTTGCAGAGTATTGACGCTAAGCCCAGGTGTAGTTCCAGGTACTCGTGGAACAAGTGAAAAACCCGTGATGAAAAGCTAGAGGCGATGACCGTGGGGATCTAGCCTGTGCTAGACTACGTCAGTCTTGAGCCACCCGAGGGAGCACGGCTGCCTGGTGACAGGCCGTACCGGTCGGTCGTGGATCGTTGCTGGACGGCATGGGTGGACTTCAAGGAGTTCGCA